ACTTAGGATGTTAAGACACAGCTCTCTCAGTGGCCAAAGGATTTTTTTTTTCAGGAACCCAGAACGCAGTGGGACAATAACACTTCCCTTTCTGAAGTACTTCTCCCAAGAGAGCCTCCCTGCTGCCCTGAGCCAAGCATGTTATCCTCTCACAGGTGTAGAGGGGTGGGACTCACCTTGGAAAGCAACAGCAAGCTGGTGGCAGAGCAGGGACATGGCAGAAGAAGTCCCTTTCTGACCAAAAAAACAGCATCAAAACTACTAGACAGGATGAAAATAATTCCCAGCAACAGAGGAGGGGAAAGGAAGGGAAGGGGGAAAAGCATTCCAGATCTGGGCAGACATGGAGCCATGAGAAAAGTGAGTGTCAGCCTGAAAATGACAGAATTGAGCCCAAAAGACACTCCCACACTCGTGACGTGCAGCCAACACATCACACCATGAACTCCCGGTGGCAGCTGAGCTCCTCACAGCCCCCTGTGCCTGTCACTCCCCTGTTTCCACGGCCATGCTCTCTCCAGTGTCACAGCATGGCCCTTTCCCAGCTCCCACATAACCATCCCACCTGCAAAACTCGCAGCTGGGGAAACACTTATGGGTTTCTGGCAAGATCACAACCTGTTTAATGAAGAATTTAGTCCTCAGTGAAAACAATCACCGGCACTGCTGCAGGTCACACCCACCTCGCTCAGTAGCAACTCCAGCCTGACAAACACTTGTTTGTCCAACCCAGCTACCCCAAAGTCTCCGTCCTGGATGACCCTGAGGAGCCAAGACACCACAGCCACTTGCAGCCACCAATGTCCTTATCACTTGTTGGTTACAAAGATTTCCAGTTTCTAGGGGTACTCTATAATCACGATGGTTATGAGGCATTTCTGGCCTCTGCTCCGAGGAATTCCCCCTCACCACCAGGATCAGGTGCCGACATGGAGGGAGGTAAAATGCATAGTGAGGTCTCCCAGCAGCGAGGTCTCTCCTCTGGAGGGGTTTTGTTTTCCACCTACTGCCCCTGCACTGTCACAGCCTCTGTCTGGCCTTTGCTTCCAGCGGGGGCCTTGCCCCCAGCGGCTTTGTTGGAATAATCCCGCTCTCCAAAGATGGTGCTCCCAATCCTGACGTTTGTGGATCCAACCTCTATCTGGAAGAGACAGAGAGGAGGAGGTCAGGGCAGGGGTGCCACCACCCCTGTGACCAGCCTCGATTCTCACCATGGCACAGAAGGGCAGCTTCCCCTGCACTTTCCACCCAGGGGCCGGTTTGATCCCAGGAATCTACCCCAGGACCAGCAGAGCTGTTTTTCACAGACCAGCACTGTCGGGATCTCCATGCAAGGGGCCCGTTTGGGTGGAATTTGGGGTGCAGCTCTGCCTGCTCCCCTCGGGAAGGGCGGCAGGAGGAACACACTCACTGCGTGCTGGAAGTCCGTGGACATGCCCATGCTCAGCTCCACCTTCTCCACGGGGAGATTCAGCTTCTCACACACCTCCTGCCGCAGGGACAGCAGCATCTGGAGCGAGGGGGAGAAATGCTCTGCAGAAAGGAGCCTCACACCTGCACTGACACCGGTGCTGAGGGCTCTGCACTGCTCTGAGCAAGGTGTTTCCACAGTCTTACAGGCTGACTCCTACTGGTTTCACTGGGACAGACAAACTGGGACAGGAGAGCAGCCCACAGTGACGTTTTCTCCTGGAAAACCTTACCTGGAAGTCAGGATTCGGGCCCTTGCTGAGGTCGTGCCCGATGCTGCCGATCGTCATCAGCCCCACGAACTCCAGGCTGGGGCACTTGTTGATCACGTGCTCCACGGCAGCCGTGGTGTCTGCAGGGGGAAGGCCGTGCTTACCTGGGAAAAAAACAGGGAGATCTGTGCCCAGCTCTGCCAGGGAAACACTCTGAGAGCACAGACCAGCCCATCCCCTGCAGGTCCTCTGAACAGGAGCTGCACATTGTCAGAAAGGGCCACTTACTGTCCTCCCCACTCGTGTTAACTTGCACCATGACCTTCAGCTTCTGGGATGTCCCTTTTTTCTGCCACGAGCTGTTGACTCTGTCTGCCAGTTTCACAGAATCCACTGTTTCCAACATGAACAGGTTTGGGACAGCTGGGGAGAAAACACAGGCTGAGGGAATTCTGCTGGCACGGGGGGGGGGGAGAAACCTTTCCCAATATCCAGCCTAAACCTCCCCTGACACATCTGAACACTGGGAGACTGTTGCCCACACAGAATCTATGAGGATTTACCAATCAGCTTGTTGACATTGTTCTTCTGCAGGTGGCCAATAAAGTGCCACTTGATGTCTGGACAAGACGCCAGGATCTGAAAGCAGAGAGAACAGTGAGGTTGGAACGACAATTCCCTCTTCCCCCACGCAGCACTTCGGGCTTAGTTTGCCCACAGACAAACCCCAGACACCCAATTTCTTCATTTGTTGACTCAACCTGTGGTTGTGCTGAGGTTACTGCACAGTCTGGAGAGGGAAGGGGCTGTGGCTGCAGGGAATGCTGTCCATGGGAATGAGGAAGGCAAAGCTCTTTTGCAACAGCCATAAAACTATATTTTCCCCAAACAGAGTGTTCCCATCCTTTTTAAACAAGGGCTGTGCCTCTCCTACAGAAAGCACAAAAGGCACAGCACTGTTCAGGCAAATCATGACTAAGGCACACGTATTCCCAGACTCCTCTGGAGCCAGCAAGGCAGGAGGAGGAACAGGGCAGAGAGCTAAGAATAACCCACCATTTATCTGCAAAGGCAAGGATCAAATTCCCAGCAAAAACCAGGACTTTAGCCTGAACAGCTCTCAGGACACAGCTGTACAAGGAAGAAAATACGAAGGCCACTGAGTACTTACTCTGGAGTCTGATGCCTTTTCCAGCAGCTCCTGAACCTGGGAGAATGCAGGAGAATCCCGTTAAACCCACAGCACACGCAAGATCAGCGTCTGTGGGGGGTGTGTGTGCCTGGGGCCAACAGGAGCCCCAAAAACACGAGGCCAGGGGGTGACGCTGTCACCAGGCCCGGCCCTCCACCCACAGAGCCTCCCAGGCTGGGCTGCCCTGAGACATTCACGGAAAGGGCTGTTAAAACTTGGGATTCTGGGATCCCCCAGACTCACGTAGTTCTCGCCGAAGCTGCGCTGCCCGTGCCCGTACGCCTCCATCACCATCTCCGCCGGCTTCGTCTTGCTGACGGCCACGAGCCGCGGCTGCACGGCCGGGAGCCCCTGCGGGACCACCGGGGCTCAGCGGGGGCACCGGGGCACCCCCAGCCCCAGGAAGGGTCGGGGGGCTTGTCCCTATGTCTGTGGGGGGTGGATCAAGCAGGAAGGGGGGGCCTGTCGTGATAGTGGGGTGCTGTCTTCTTTGCAGGGGGGCTCAGGTGCCCCTCTCCGCGGTGGGACCTGTCCCTGCGTGACACTGAGGGATGTCCCCACGGTGACACGGGCCCTGCCCTCACACGGTGGCACCTGTCCCTGTGGCACTGGGGGAATGTCCCCACGGCGACCAGGGCCCTGTCCCAGCGGCCCTAGGGAATGTCCCCGCGGTGACACGGGCCCTGCCGGCACACCGGGACCCCTCCCGGTGGCGGCCCGGCTCCGTCCCCATGGCGACGACCCGTGACCTGTCCCCACGGCGCGGGCCCGTCCCTACGGTGACGGAGGCCGTGCCGCCGAGGCAGCGGCCCCCCCGCCGTGTCCCGCGGTTCCCCCCGTGTCCCCGGTGTCCCCTCACCTGCGGCCGCCGCGCCGCCGCCTGCTGCAGCTGCTCGGTGACGGCGCGGAGCGCCGGGCCCAGCCCGTCCCCGGCGGCCATGCCCGCTCTCCACATCCCCGCCCGCCCCGCGCCCACTTCCGCCACACCTCCGCCCCGCCCCCGCGCCGCCGCCAATGGGAGCGCCTCACCGGGCAACTCCAGCCAATGGGAGCGCCTTACCTTGCAACTCCAGCCAATAGGAGCGCCCCACTGCGCCATGTTGGGAAGGTCGCGGGCGCCATGGCGGGGCACCGGGGATGGGGAGGTCGGGGCTCCCCTCGCCCCCCTTTCCACTCCCGGCCCTGCACAGACACCCCAAGGATCACGGATCCAAGCCCTGGCCCTGCACAGACACCCCAAGGATCACGGATCCAAGTCCTGGCCCTGCACAGACACCCCAAGGGTCATGGATCCAACTCCCGGCCCTGCACAGACACCCCAAGGGTCATAGATCCAAGTCCTGGCCCTGCACAGACACCCAGCAATCCCCACCCCATCCCTGAGAGCGTTGTCCAAATACTCCAAGCTCTGGCAGCCTTGGGGCCGTGACCACCGCCCTGGGTTCCAGGGCCCGACCACCCTCTGTGTCCACCCCAAAAAACTGGGTTCCTCCCCCTGCATGAAGAGCTGTCACCCCGGGGAGGGGAATTTCAATTATTTCGGGGGGCGTAAAAAGCCCCCCAAAACAAGTGCAGGCGACAGGGCCCATCCTGCAGGCCCAGTTTAGGGTGGGGAGCGTTGGGGAGCGCTTGGAGCACGGCCAGAGCCCCAGAGCAGCCGGGACAATGCCTGGCTTTACCCGCAGCAGCTCCCAGGGAAAGAATGGGAGCCTGCCAGCTGGAACACATTAACTCAAATATTTGTCCTAATGTGCAGAACTCCGCTGTCCCTCCGCAGCTTCGCTGTTTACACAGCTGGGCAAAAACACCCAGAAGGTTCCTGCCCTTTGTCCGGTAAAACACGACGGGGATTTTCTGCGAACTTTACCGAGTCTGAGGCGTCTGCTGCTCCAGCCTCGTTCCGTGAGCAAAGCAGGGGCTGACAGGCACTTGTGGGATTCCTTGGACACAGGCACCTCTGATTCTTCCTCCACTGTCCTCCTCCTGCTCCCTGGAGGGGGAGAACCAGCACAGACCCCCAGCATCCCCATGCTCCCCGCTCCTCCTCTGGAAAATCTCCCCCTGCAAATACACCTACACATCGTGCTGAAGTTCCTCCACAAACCCTGCTGTGAAAGCTGAAGATATTAAAATCAAAGGCCATTTTATTGTCATAGCAAATACCAAAATAAAAAGGCTTTGAGTTCAGTACATAAGAAGATCAAAGAGCATTCCCATGCTCCCCGTAGCCATTCCCAGGTAGCAGCAGTGCCACGAACCTCTGTTTCCTTTGTCACAGAGTGGGTTTAAAATTCAGATCTTCGCCTCAAGATCACGGAAACAGGGCAAAATGCCCCTTTAAAGAGACAGAGGGAATCAAGGTTTACATGGACAGGCAGATCCACTCTGGAAAATTCAGGACATTTTACAGAATGAAGACACCTGAATGAAGATGCAACAACGGATTCTGGCTTGTCCAGACTGATACACTCAACTTTGCTTTTGATTTTTTACTCTTAGTACAATTTAACTAAATTACATTAATACTTTAGCAGTCATGGTTTTAATTTAAAAAAAAAAAATCATTAAGAGCTCTTTATCCCAAACTATTGTCTTGCTGTGAAGTCATACATTAAAAAATGACTTTATAATACCACTTTGGCTTAGTTAGGTCCTTTCATTAGTGAAAAATACTTGTGTAGAAGGAGGTCTTAGCTGCTGATGGAAACCTCAAGCATGAACATAGAACAATCCCAAACAAACATCCTCAAGGCTGCTGCAGGTTCAAACACTGAGGGGTGAGCCCAGAGGTTGTGGAGAGCACGGAATTTGGGGCCCGAGCCTGAGAACCCAACAGGCTGGTCCCTGAGGAGCACTGGCATCATCTCAGATGAGGATATTTGGCCTCAAATCATACCAGCAATTAACCACCAGGCTCTGCTGCCAAGTGCAGATGGATTAGGGAGAGAAGAGAAAATGTTCTCTCTAGGCCTGAACTTCAGATTTTGCACGTGGAAAACAAAACCCTGCTCCCTCCTCGCATGTGGGACGTGAGGAATTCCTGAGCTCTCTGAAGTGGAAGGTGCATTCTAGCACTGTTCTGACAGAAAGGGGGGGAATTCAACTTTGGGCACTTCAGACAAGAGCTGCTTCTCTCTGCACTGGGATCTTTCAGGATGACAGTTTGTGTCCTCGGCTACTAAAAATGCCCTTTTTCTAGTCAGACTCTATAAACACAGAGATCCAGTCCCTCTTGCAGAGCAGATAATGAGCTGTTAACGACCCTCTGGTCACTCCAGCAGCTCCTCCCCAGCAAGGCTTTTTGCAAAGTCAGGGTCCCTGAGACAAAGATTCCTTCCTCCCTGGTTTTTTCTGGCTATGACTGCGACAATTTCCACGCCTGCAGCCTGGTTTCACCCAAAAGCACATCGAGCTCTCCCCTCCAGGACGCTGCCCTTGTGCCCACACCCTCACCCAGCAGCCCAACTGCTACCAAAAACCACGACAAATGGAAAACAAAGCAGTGTTGGGACGCAGAAAACGAGCACTTGGTCTGAGGCTTCGATCCCCCCACCCCAAAAGACAGGGAACCTGCAGGATTCCAGCTGAGCTCGTGTCCCTCATGGTGCACGTGGGCTCAGCAGAACCTGCCACTGCCCAGGCCTCGAGCAGCCACGTGTAGTGTACAGAATCTAGCACCTTGTTGGGAAAGGGGGTTGAAACAGGGTACTTGGAATTTCCAATGAGAAAAAAAAAACAACAAAATAAGCTGTAGCAGCGATTCCCCTCCCTCCAAACCCTCAGCATTTCTTTACCTCCCACTGCTAGGAACCACTTCAACCTCAAATTAAGTTCCCATTCAGCTGATGGCCCAGGCAGCCTCTCCAGACTCCTGGGTCTGTGTGGGACAAAGAGCAGGGGAGGTGCAGCTACAGGGCACACCTGGAGTTGGCTGCTTAGAGGTTACCAGAAAACCCACCCCATAATTACCAAAGTCCTTGTGTCTAATTGTCATACAAAAAAGATTGAAAGGATTAAGTCTGATTCATCTCTTTCAGCATGGGAAAGGGGCAAAACAAAAAGGAGCTTCCCAGTTCATGGTGTTGTTTTTTGATATAAAACGAATAGAAATCTTTCTCCTCAGTTGACACCATGAAGCAGTTTTGTGTCCTCGCTGGTTCCTGCCCCATCCTCCTCTTGGATTCCTTCTGCCAGTCCCTCTGCAGATTTGGTCTGGCTCCCTGCAGAGTCCATGAACATATTGGGGATATCTTTGCCAAAATAGATCTTGCTGTTGGCTGCGATCGCCTTGTACTTCATCAGCTGCAAGTACTCGGGAGTCAACTTGAGCTGCACGGGAGAAAACGGGTCACAACAGCCCGGATTCGGGCAAAAGCAAACCCCTGCCAGGAGCACACGAGGCACCTCCTTTCCACAGCCCTAGCAGCAGTGCCCAGCCCCTCCACAGGGAAAACACAGTGCTCTGGGAAGGCTCTCTGTCAGCTCCAAATCCCAGGGACTGAGCGGCAAATTGAGAAGTGAAGTGATGGGAGCAGCTGGGGAGATGTTCGATCCAGACGGGATGGAGATGCCCCAGAGCACATCCCTCGCTGCAGCCCCTGCAATGTGAGCTACTGGGAAGGAAAATACCCCTGGCTGTTTTCCAGGGACTGCGTTTGGGTGAGCAGAGCTCATTTTCTTTTTCAGGATAATGACATTGTAACACAGAGGATGGAGCAACTGGGGCAAAACTTGTGCACAGACACCCCAGCCCTCTGTCCTCCTCGCTGACCCTCACAGAGCAGAAATGCTTCCTGCTGGCACGTCCTGGGAACTTGCTGTAGGCAGGAACACACCTGGCAGTTGTATCCATGTAATTTTTCTGTTTCCAGGTTGGGTTGTTTTGTTTTGTTTTTCTTTTTCTTTTGCAGTAGCTCTGCCAGGGTGTCTGAGATCAGCTCCATTTGTTCTTTCCCTGAACTGTGATTTACTCTACCCCTGCCTGTCACCCCGGAGATCTCCCTGCTCCAACTGCCTGCCAGCTTGAGACTGGAACAATCCACATTTCTCATCACAACTGAAACTGATATTCCATCTACAGGAGAGAGCCAGGCCCCCTCAGCATCTGGCAGAGCACAGATTTCACACATCCTGACATATTTATCTGTCCAGAGAAGAAAATGAACTTGCAAATAAGGATCTGAAATGCTTCAGTCAGAATGGAAACTTCGCTGAGAGGAGATGGTTTTGTTTTTTGGCTTGGACAATACTCAGTGACTGCTCTAGTGCAGCCTGATGCTGAGCCCTGCTCCAAGGCACCACGGAGGAAACCACACCAACCTACCTTGTTGGCCTCGGCCACCTTCATAGCAGTGTAGCACTCAGCGTCAGCCCTCGCCTTCTCCCGGGCAAGAAAGGCAGCATCTGGAAGCAAACACAGCCTCTGAGTCAGATTTTTTTATTTCCAGCCACGTTAGCACCGTTTGCAGCTGGAAACCTTTAAGATAAAGTGGCCAGTGCCACATTTAACTGCACGGGATACAACGAGGGGAAGAGGCAAACAAAATGGGAGCTCAGCTCCCAGCTAAATGGCTGCAGGACGAGAGCATTAAGTGAGTAAATTGCATCTCAACTGCAGAGCTCAAAGCATTTCACAGACATCAGGCTTTGATTATCCCCATCACGTGGGCCGAGCTCGCTCTTTCTTCTCGAGCCAGGGCTGACTCTCGTGCTGAAATGCAGCAACTGTTCCCCTGCAGACGTGGGATTTACCCACAGCCCTCGCCCAGGACTCCAGGAACAGCCTGGAACAGCCCAGCAAACTCTCTGCAGATGAGGTCTGTGCCTGTGGATGCAATCCCCAGATGGGATTTGGTCTGGGATGCGGAGATGAAGGTTCTGGCACGCAGAGCAGGGGATTTTAACCTTTACAGGCTCTGCCCCTCAGACAGATTGCTGCAGAGCTTTCCTCTGCTCTATCAACAACTGCTCAAAGGCTCTGATCCTGTGGGATACTGAAATTCCTGACTCCTAGCAGAGACATTTAAGGAGAGGAACACTTCCCCTTTCTGTGCTGCACTCCTTTTGTGCTGCACTCCCCTCTGACTTCACACCTACCCATGGTAATGATGACCAGGCCACCACATCCAGGCTAAGGTCAGTGTAATCCTGCTCATCTCTTGACATCCCCTCCTAGGACATGGAGCCACACGATTGCAACAGGCCAGTCTGGATCTGGGAGCTGCACAGCTGGATAAACCATTTTTTTAACCTCCCCTAGCAGGGAGAGCTGCTACACTTAAAAAATCATGTAAACAGCTGGGATGGTTTGGCTCACAACTTCCTCTCTTTTGACAAAAGAGACAACCTCCTAAAAAGAGCATCTGAGAGAGGGAGTTTCAACAAGCACAGTCTGCAGAGAAACATTCCTGTTCCTGCCTCTGCTCAGAAACTCCACCCCTGTGAATGTCAGCCTGGACTGAAGAACACAGTCAATACAGACTTCAAGAACTCCTTGGTAAACTGCTTCAGGATTTACTTCCTGGAAAGCTCACCCCCCACTCACCTTCAATCTCCGAAATTCGCTTCTCCGTTTCCTTTTCCATCACTTTCTGTCCGTAAGTTATTTCAGCAACTTGTGCAATCTTTTCTGCCTCTGAAATGAAAACAGGGACACACCCATGCTGTCAGCACACCGTCTTACTAATGTCAGAAGCAGCCTCACCCGGGAAAGTCCTCACTCATCACCCACTTCAGGTGGAAATAAATGCTGGGAAGAATTTCCAGCCCTCAGAAGGCAAAGCTGGAACCCACGTGCGAAGCCCTGAGTTTCTCTGGGTGAGTTTTGGGTCAGAGATGACCCCAAACTGAGCCAGGTGAATTCCTCCCTGGAGTCTGGGGTCTCTTTGCTGCCTGCCCCCACACCCACCCCCCTGTCCCAGCCTCCCAGCCCAGCCACACAGACCGATGAGGGCTTTCTTCCTCTCTGTCTCCGCCTCCTTCTCCACCACCTTCTGCTTCTGCGCTGCAATCAGCAGCTTTGTCTTCTCACTCTCCCTGGTGAGCAGGAGAAACCAGTTAAAAACATGACCTCACTGGTGTGGGGATTCCCCCCACAGCCCCAGCTGGCTCCCCCCTCCTTCCAGCACGTGTTCATGTCCACCACTAAACCATGTCCCCATCCACATATGTTTTGAGCCCTTCCAGGGGTGCATTTTACAGGCTAAATCCTTCTCTGTCTTACTGGGTTTACTCACATTAATGAGTTTGAAAAGTGTGGATCATAAATAAAGCACCCTGCTGCTGGCTCACAATCAGGGAACAGACCCTGGAATTGAGAACAAGCCTCTCAACACGTCCTGCTGCATTTGTGGCAGCAGAACACAGGCTGATTTGGGACTCTCCTGCCGTGGCCATACCACACAGGGCTCACCACAATCCCAAAAGGTCACACGAAATGCTAGGGAAGCAGAATGGACCAGAGGGGGTCTTATCCTGGCCTACACAGGCTGTTGGCAGCGTGCTCAGGGAACACAGGCACGCCTGAATGACCCAGGGCAGGAGGAGGCAGCTGGCTCAGGGCACTGAAAAGGGATCAGCACGTCAAGTGCCATTAAAGAAAGTTATTTCAAAGCTTTGCAAATCTTCAGCCTGTTGAATCAACAGTTTCTCCATCCCAGTCAAACAAGAGGATTAGTGGTGAAATCCATCCACCTGCCCCTCACCCACCACGCGGGGCCAGTGCCAGCGGGGAAGGAGCCCCGGGGCAAATCATTCCTGTGCTCAAGGGTTCCAGCTGGAGAAACCCCTCCTGCCCCAGCAGGGACCTGCCAGCCCCTGCAGTGCTCAGTGCTGCACCTCTGCAGCCCCTTCCCGAGGGTGACAAAGGCTGAGGGCAGTGTTAATGTGCCCAACTGGCCCCCCTGGGGAGCACAAAGGTGCAGGGTCCGAGGCACTTACATGAGCTCGTAATTCCTCCGGATGGTTTCAGGGATGTTTGGCTTTGTAACTCGAACTGCCTGCAGAGAGAGACCGAGGAACACTTGGGCAAGCAGCCAGCAACCCAAAGCTGAGCAGCACCCGGGGCTGTGGGGGACGGCAGGAAGGGGGGGGACACTGCGGGCGTGCTCTGCCACACAGAGCTGCACAAAGTGTCACCAGGCCCAAAACCCACACAGAAACAGGACTGGAGGATCTCCTGACGTGACAGGGGGTGGTAACCTGGGCCAACCAGGTCTGTGTTGTAAAGCACTTTTTAAAAATGCTTGTTTCCTGTTTCCCTTTTAGCCCTTATCCCTCCTCAGGAGCTGCACCTTCCATATCCCAGTCAAATCCTGATTACCTGTATAATTAATCCAGGGGCCATCGTGGTTAGGTCTTGCTGCAAGGCCAGTTTCAGGTTTTCATCAATCTGATCTGATGGAGGGAATAAAAGAAAAGGCAATGAAACACCCCCAAGGCAGTTTGCTGTCAGCACCCAGAGCGAGCTGGGATGGCTCACGTTCCTTATTCCTGGAAACTACAAATGTAAGTTGGATGTAGAAGTGCTGGGCTGACCCTGAGGCACGTTCCCAGCTCAGTCAGCAGCCTCAGTCAGCACCAGCACTTGGGACAGACCACAGGAACATGGCAGACATGAGAGGAAACCCTCCAGTTCCCATAACCTGCAGTCTCCCTGAGCCAGAAGAGCCATCTTTACGACAAAGAATCTGTGCCCTAACCCCCTCCCCCACTGATCTTCCCAACTGGATCCTGGACTAACGTGGTCCAGCTAAATCCTGACTGATTTCAGCCTGCACCTGTGCCAGCATGACACAACAAGGCAAATGGAAAGGCAGGAGTGGGAAATGGCTGCATCAGTTACTTTAACAGGCTGCAAAAATCATCACTAATGTCTCTTTGGCTCAAGGAGCCCCAGAACTCCAGCAGAGCTGAGGATTTCAAAAGGAAACACAACCCAAAACCCTGCTCTGATGAAAGCTCCAAGGAGGGCAGAGCTTCCAGTTGGGGCCTGCTGGGAAGTGCAAAGGGAAGAAATCTGTAACAGCCTTGAGAAGGGATCACATCACACTCCTGGATTGTTTGCTTTGGTCCCAGTTTCCTATCTGGAGCTCAGGCTCCTAATGAAGTCCAGCCAGCAGTTTTGGAAGCAGCTGTTATCAGTTCCCTGCACCTGCTGGCAGCTGTGGGGGCAGAGGATGACGAGAGGCCGCCCGAAAGGGGCCGTGCCCCAGTGCAGAGCCCCGAGCCAGACCCAGCCAGCCCGGCCCAAGAGCTACAGGGGAGTTTGTACAAGTTCCTCCTGTGCAGACCGGGTGCTTTCAGCCCATTTCAGGCAGTTGTCGTCAGCAGCTGCCGACATCTGGAGCCTCCACGGGCCAGGAACCCGCCCAGCAGGAACTGGGGGATCCCAGCCCCAGGTCTGCAGCTTGTGCAGGAAGTGGGAAGCCAGGCTCCTTGGAAAGCCCAGCCTGAACGGAGAACAGGAGTATGCAAACACCCCGTGCTCTCTCGGGCACAAATCCCGTCCCCTTGGGCTCCCAAAGCACTCCCAGCAGCTCGGTGCCCGCAGGCAGCACTGCCAGTGCTGAAAGGCTGGGAGGATTTCCTGTCAGTCCAGAGCCAGAAACCAAACACTCAGCACTGGCAGCCACTGGGCTCGTTCTAGCAAGAAACCACAACTTTTCCTCAGCCTCTCCTGCCATGTGTCTCCTGATTTCCCGCTGGGAAGGTCAGCAGGCCCCTGCCAACACTCCTGGTTTATGGGCACTGCAGCCACGGGCATGACCCAGAGCTCATCAAACCCTCGGGCCAGGGAGTGCTTGCTCAGACTTTCTGTAACAGCAAAGAGCCACAGACTGGCTTTTCCATCCGGATTAGCAAACCCTGTGACTGGTTCAGCCCATCACAGCTGCCACACGCCCAGAGAACGCCACAGAATTCCCACTCCCTTCCCTAAAGCCCTGTGCTGCTGGCAGGGCTGGGGCTGGAGTTCACTGTCACAACATCCCGGAGCGCTCAGCTCCCAAAGATAACAGGGATGAACGGTGGCAGCTGCTCAGCAACCCAGCAGAGCACACACAGGGGCTCAAGGGATAAAAGCCCAGCACTCGGGGGTTCTGCACAAACAGCCCGTGGAAGAACCCTGGGAACCAGCAATTCCCACTGGGAAAGGGCAGCTCACCAAACAGCTCGATGTACACCTCCTGCAGCGTGTGGACACTGCAGAACTGGTTCAGCTCGTGGTGGATCTTGTTGAAGATGAGAGCCTTGTCGTAGTCGGCCGTGTAGTTCTTGACGATGTCGTACACTGGGAGAGGGAGGGGAGGGAGGTTGAGCACCCTCAGAGGGTCCCAGAGCGGGTGTGAGACGAGGGACGCCCTCCCACACACCCCCTCTGCTCAGGGCAGGATTTCTGCTGGCGTTTTGGGACACCTTCACCAGCATCCACCCGCTGCTCTTGTGAACAGAAGGGTCTGAACCACCCCCAGCCCTCCCTGCGTGGCTGCAATCCCCCCTGTGTGACCCCTGTGGCACTTCCAGCACACCCCCAGCACGTTACAAACCAAAGGATTTGGGACAAAGGCCAACCCAAACCCAGCCACCACCTCCCGACCCCCTCTCAGGGCAGCACAAACCCCCCCAGGGCGCGCAGAACTCGGCACTCACCCGCGCTCTGGATGAGGAAATTCACCACCTCGATCCTGTCGAAATAAATCATCACTCCCCCGCTGCCAAGGGAGGGAAAGGGGGGAGGACACTTAATGGGGGGGCTCAAGGGGGGAGAACACCCCAGGTGGGACACACCCCAGCCTGCTCAGCACCCCCAGGACCCACCCCAGCCCTGCTCAGCACCCCAACACCCCCCCCAGCAGCACCCCAAAACTCCCCCAGCCCCCAGGGATGGTGGCACAGACACAGCCCTGGGTGGGCCCATCCACCTTACAGAGCCTCCCAGTGCTCCCAGTCTGGTGGCTGCTGGTGGTGGTGGTGAGAAATCCAGTCCCTGAGAACAACCTTAAAGCCCTGGAGTAACCAGTGCAGAAAAGGGGAAGGACCCGGAGTTTCCAGCCAGGGTGGGGGGAAGAGCCGAACATCTCACCTGGTGCCACACGGGACATTTTTCACCTCGTCCGTCTGCAGCGTGGTCTGGAGAGGGGAGCGGGGGCGGGGGGGGGATTGAAGGAAAAGAGGCTTAAAGGGAGGGATTTTCCCGGCGCAAATCCCGCTGCCCGCGGGGCTCCCCCGGGGGAGCCTCCCAAGACAGAGCCGGACCCCCGGATCAGCGGGGCCACCCCAGAGCCGCCTCCCCCCGGGACCGGGCCCCCAGAGCCGCCTCCCCCCGTACCGGGCCCCCAGAGCCGCCTCCCCGCTACCGGGCCCCCAGAGCCACCTCCCCCGTACCGGGCCCCCAGAGCCGCCTCCCCCCGTACCGGGCCCCCAGAGCCGCCTCCCCGTACCGGGCCCCCAGAGCCGCCTCCCCCAGTACCGGGCCCCGCCGCCCCCCGGGGCTCCCCCGGGCCCAGCAGCACCTGCACTGACTTGTAGGACGTGATGAAGGGCAGCATCAGGTGGAAGCCGGGCCCGCTGGTGGAGGTCAGCAACGCGCCGCCGCTGCGGGAGGGGCGGGCAGAGAGAGAGAGAGAGAAGCGTGAGCGGGAGCAGCCCGGTTCTCCCGGCGCGGCGCGGGGCGGACCGGGGAGGGGGGAATGGGGCGGCCGCCTCACCGGTAGTAGACGCCGATGTGCCCCTCGTCGATCTTGTGCACGGCCGAGAGCAGCGCGGCGGCCGCGACCCCGAGGGCGAGCGCGGCGATGGCGCCGAGCTGGGCCATGCCCGGCACCGGCACCGGCGGCGCGACAGTGGCGTCATCACCGCGCGACCGCCGGTGCCGCCGGTGCGGGCGCCGCCGCCGGGGGGCGATGGAGGAGCGGCGGAGCCAGAGCCGGAGGACGCGGGTTCGAGACCCGCCCCCCGCACCTCCGAAATCCCGCGCTCCCCAACACCCCCCCTGCACCCCCAGATCCAACCCCAACGGAGAGCAAAGAAGTACCTGCTGTTCAAACTAATTCCCCTCCTCCCCCACAATTATTCAAATTCAAAACGTGTAATTCTTCAAAAAATAATAATAATAAAAAAATTCGTTCGGGTTGTTCTCCAATTAAAAAAAAAAATAGGTGTGTAAAACGTCAATAAAAGAGGAATAATTTGATCTCAACGCTTGGTGGATCTCTGGGGTTACGTAGCGGAGGGTTCAGCACCCGCTCAGGGATAAGGGATGGAATACCAGAGGTATTTGTCAATCCGAATTTTAAGGCTCTTAAATAAGCTCTAAAGGGGCGCTGGGGATGAAAAACACCCCGTAGCCGGTGTGTTTTTAAAGGCGTTTGCCCAGATTTAAGGCCTTGATAAAATGTATTAAAACTTTAGAGGTTTTAATGAATCTAGTATGTGTTTCATAAATCACGAGCCTCCACTCAGCCCCTCTCGGTTTAATAAGGGTAAACTAGGAAATTGCTGTGAGCTGGAGCAAAATACACCCATGGAATATTGAAAAGTAATAGATTTTTAAATGTGGGGTGTTCTGGCTCGCAGGAGAGGTTTTGCTTCATAACACCAGAGCTATATCACTCCCCTGAACGGGAAACCAGCTGCGGCCATGTGTTTAACAGCATCAAGATGTGAACCAGCACAAAGGTAAATATTATTTGTAATAATCCTTAAAAAAAAAAAAAAGAAAAAAAAATAAAGGCCAAAAAAAATCATTACTGCTGGACCCAGGGCCAGGAACATTCAGTTGTGTCTGTGCCTCAGGGCCCGGGGATTTTCACAACATGGGCTTTTTTTTTTTTGTAGGAATAAGTGGTTTATTGCACCCCTTTCTCTCCGGCACTTGAAAACTTCTTCACCCCTGCCCCGTCCCCATAAAAATATCCTGGGGGGGGGATTCTGCAGAGTTAGTTGGGACAATTTGAGGGTCTCTGGGTGCCCACGGTCCCAAGGCCTGGGGAGGGTCCCCCTGCCTGTGGCTCTGGACCCCGTGGGGCCGGCGCAGAGCGCCGTGTAAAGTCTGTCTGCCCTCATTAGCTGTCACAAGTAACAATGCCGGGCTGGCAATAAAGGCAATTCCGAGGCTGTTGGCCATTAATCATGGCCTGACAGCTGGGAATAGGGCTGGAAAAACTCTGTCCCCGCCGTTCCTGCTTTGGTGTTTAAGGTTACCTCTGTGCACAGCCAGAGCCGTGGGGTGGAAGGTTCTGCCTCACCAGTGCTGCCCCATCCCCACTCCTGTTCCATCTCCATTTCCATCCCATCCTCAGCCCCATTCCTGACTTCATGATTCCATTCTATCCCCATCCCTATCTCTGTCTTATCCCCATCCCCACTCCTGTCTCCTTCTCCTTTCCCATCCCATCCCCAGACCCTTCCCTCTCCCATCCCAAACCATCTCCATCCCCATCCCAGCTTCTCCTCCCTCGCTGAAACCCAAAGGAGCAGTGGAGCCCAGGAAGGGAAATCCCTGGAAGGAGCTGGACCAGGCCCCTTCCCACTCTGCCCCAGCTCTGGAAGGGAGGGGATGGGAGAGGGGCTGTGTGGGGGAGTCACTTCACGAATCCTGTCCATCCACCATCACTTGCCGATCGCGGGGCAGGATTGTGTTCGAGTCTGTCCGGGCTCGTTCCGTGTCAGCACTAACAATACAGCACTTGGCAATCCAGGGAGTTCTGTGGCGCTGGCCATTAATCATTCCCTGACAGCCTGGCCCTGGCGAGGAGGGAACAGCTCACATGTGCTCGCCGTGCCCCTTCCCCACCGCCAGCGGGGCAGGAGGGGGCTCTGCTGCCTCAGGGCCCACCTGAACCCTGAGGTGTCCTGATTCCACGTCCCAGGCATTGCAAGGGGCGTGTGGGGCAGGCAGAGAGCAGGGAGACATTCCTGCCCTCGAGAGTGGGGCAACCAAGCTCCCAGGGAATGACCCCTCCGGGAAGAGGCGCTTGGGAACGGGTTAAAACTGCGGCATTTTGCCAGGTTTTCCTCTCCATCACCATCCTCTTGCTCCACTGGCTCCTGCTCACCCCCAGCCTCAGGGCCAGGGGGTTTGTCCTCAGGGGAGGTGATCCTGGTGGGAGCCAATTCCCGGCACAGCTCACCCCGAGGCTTCACTCCACACCCCACGTCGTCCCGCAGGCGCCGGCCCCGTGGCCCCGTGCCAGCCTGCCAGGTCATCCCCCAGCAAATAAAGGAGCAATGTGTTTCCAGCCCCCCGACGCTGTTTTCTAAAGGGAAATGATTAATGGCCCTTGGAAACCACAATTCATCCCGGGAAAGAAAGTAGATTTACCCGAAACATGCGTGAGAATTAGCACTGGGATCAGCTCCTAGGGCAGAGGGGGGGGAGGCTAATGGCAAACAGAGACTGTCTGTGTGCAGGGGGGGGAGAATACCCTGCCAAAAACACGGGCTGGAGGAGCTGGGATGGAGCTGGGATGAAGCAGGGACAGGAGGAGGAGAGCAGCCATCAGGATCAGGTCCCTCCCCGGGCTGGAAATCTCAGTCGCTCCCTCCTTCCCTGTTCCACACTGAGATGGTCACGACAGGGAAGGGAATTCTCCTCCCATGGGCGTCCCAGCACAGCACAGCAAGGGATGGACAGTGGTGGTGGGACCCAAACTGGTCATTTCCAAGTGTCCCAGAGGTACCTGGCACCGGGGAGAAGCAGGAGTTGCACCAGAACACAGGGAGCTCCGGCCTGAAAATGCCAAATGCTTCAAAGAAAGGCTGGTTTGGGCTCAGGGAACGATCTCACCTTGTTCCTGCTGGTGGCAACCACTGGGATGACTGGGCTGGGCTGGGGTGCACCAGGGCAGCAGGAGGCCATCACAGTGGTGCTCTGGTTGTCCCCACAACAGCCACCCACGTGCTTCATCCCTGGGGAGCAGGAAACCTCAGAGAAGGGAAAACCACCCTTTTCCTCTGCAAGAATGGGAGGGAAGTGGCTGCAGCAACCCCTGGTCCCACTCGGGTGTGGGAACTGCAGCATCATCCTGCTGAGTCAGAGAAACAAGGCAGGGGCTGACGGGTTAGGGAATTCATGGAAAAGGCTTCCAGGCACAAATCCTCACCTGGATCCAAGCTATCCAAGCTGCCGTGCTCTCCTCGGCCCGGGAGAGCAGCGAGGGAGGGGAAAGGGCTCCCTCGGGAGGAAGCAGGGACCGGTGACACGGAGTTATCACCCGATCCCAGAGATAAACCCCGGATCCCTGCCTTGGTCTCTGCTCTGGATCGGGCAGGGCCGGCCCCGCACAGGTCCCATCCATCAGTGGAGGAGCTCGGACAGGGCTCCAGGAGGGAGATTTATTTGTGGGATTCCGGGAAGGGCTGGGGAAGCCTCAGTGAGGTGCTGAAGCCCAGGTCAGGACTCAGCCCTGGCTCGGTGATATATTTAGAGCGGGATAATGTAAGCGACAGGAGGGAAAAAAATAAAAAGAATCCACGGAGGAGGTGCAGATCCGTCCCCTTGGCCGGGAGTTACTGGATGATCTGAGCCAGGGAACAGATAGTTGGATTTCCCTCATTTCTCCCTTCAAATAAATCACAACTCCAGAGCCCTTTAAACTCTGCAACATGATCTGTTCCAATAAGGAAGGGAATGAAAGGCTGCGCCTCTCTGGAAGCCTCCAGAGCCATAAATCTCCTATGTACAAACACAGACCAGATTTCCAAGTGCATTTATTTTATTGTATTGTTTTAACAGAAAAATCAAGCTGCAATAAACTCCGTCCCTCATTAGCTGTCTCTGTGTCCAGGCCAAACGCTGCTAACGAATAAAATCAGGACAAAGGAATGTGGCTGCGGGTCCAAGGCCTGGCCGGGCGCTGACCCCCCGAAAGGCCCTTCCCTGCCAGGAGGTGTGGGATGTGGGGATGGCTCCTGCACTGCCCACCACTGCAGGTTTGCTGGTCACACCAAATCCAGCGTCCCTGCCGTGACCCGGCATCCCTGAGCCTGGAATCACCGCCGTGGATCCAGCATCGCTGCCGTGGGCTTGGCATCCCTGCCTGGCCCCCCACCACGGCAGCTGGAGTTCAGTTTGGGGGCTTCTTGCTTCGGTTTGTTGCGGTCCCCGATGTTGTGCACCCCAAGCGAGGCACCCAAGAGCAGCAGGAACACAGGGCAGTTTGGGTGGGGACATGTGGGTGCCCCCCAGGCTCCATGAGAACCCCCCCCACCCCAGGTGCCCAGGGGAAGGGGCTGCAGAATTAGGGCTGAACTCATTAAACACTGGGTCAAACACCCAAATTAGCAATCGGGGCATTGCTGGGGTTGTTGGTCATTAATCATCCACTGACAGTCCTGAAGGGTCTGTGGCTCTGTGGGGGGACGGGAGAGCTCGGGGACAGGATTGTGCCTGGCACTGCTGGTGGCACGGATGACAAAGCCCCCAGCAACCCACACAGAGCACCCAGCGAGTTTTCCCAAAAGCTGTCATGTCCCAAGCGCAGGAGATGCAGCGACTCGGTCTGATCCAGGGAAAAAAAAAAAACAAACCAACGAAAATCCATCCCAAGCTGCCCGGGAAGGAACAAGGAGCCTGTCTGCAGGATTTATGGCGCTGAGCCGGAGAGCCCAGAGCAGCGCCCGCGCCGCGCGGGTCCCGCCTCAGCCCACGGAGAAATTCCTGACTTATTGAATCACATTTGTCATCCCTAAATACATATGCAGGCCCGTGTTTCTGAATCCATAAACATCTTTAACTAACTCCGCTCGGCGAGGCCTCTTTCAGCAGTAATTTATATTTAACTTTTTCCATATGCAGGGCCTGTCGCGCTGGTGTCATTTCCGGGAAAACCAG